CAAAACCATAGGAATCCAAATATTCTTAGCCAACTGCTCACGTAAGTCCATCCATCTAACTTCATATTCTGAGTGAATTATTTCAATCATGATAATTTTTATACATCTCTGTTGGCGGTAGTTTATTTCTTTTTCCTCATTGTCAGTGTCTTTCTTCTTGTTTTCAGACCATTTTCAGAATCAGTTGGTTCGGAGTGATTTCATCACCAGCTTTGATACCAGTGTTCTCTTCGTTTCAATCCATGATGCTGTCATTTATACCGTATCCAACGTCTCCCACAAGCTAAGAGAAACAAGGTGCTTTACTGCAATAGATACAAATATTCTGTTACCTAGAAAGCAAGTCGTGGAGCTATTTCAAAAAACGTTTGTGAACGAAGATGGAGGTTTTGTTGCATGTTTCATGTTGTAYACCAAGTTTGAACCGTAATATGCATCATATGTAAATAATGTCAGTACAGAAGAAAATATGCCTAAAAAAGTGCACACAAAGTTGGAGAAATTCCTATTCATATTGTTGGAGTTTTCGCTGATTGCATTCACATTCACATTCACCATTTTCCATACATCGGTTCACTGGAAAAACACAAAGCATTCAGTCGAGGTTGCAAGGTTCAAATTTGAAAAATTCCTTTGAAAGTACCTTAGCACCTCGCTTGAGCGCTTTGTGATTGACCAGTGAACAGATGTATGGAAAATGGTGCATCGCCATGCATTTCGGGCTTGGTGTTCCAGCATGCAACATGCAACCGAAACCTTCAGCAACCTTTTGATTAAATAGCTGTATAAATTCCTTTTTAGATTTAACATTGCGATCTCAGACTATTTAGTTTTTAAACCGCAAAAAAGGGGGATGCCAGCCACCCACCCATACCAGCAACCCCACCAATGCCAGCCACCCACCCATGCCAGCCACCCACCAATGCCAGCCACCCACCCATACCAGCCACCCACCCATGCTAGCCACCCATCCTCCTCACTCGGATCCACCCATCCCACCCCTTTAAAACTATTTTAACCAAAACAGGTTTCCATTTTTCTTAGATGCTGAGGCGTGAAAATAAAAGAAATAAAAGATATTAACTCATATGTGCATGCGCAGAAAGCCTTGACCCATTTGTGAACGTGATTAGCTACATTTTTTTCTGACGTCACTTGATTTGAAAGCAAGAAAATCTAAGAGTACGTATATGAAAAGTATAAGACAAGTAATGATTTATTGCATATATTTCTATATTGAACTAAACATCAAAATAATAAATACTATTTTATATAGTCTTTGTACCTATCTATATTTAACTCTTTTATAATATTAATCCTAATTTCTCAATCAAAAAAAAAAAAAAAGGTGCAGAAAATGAGTATACGACATAAATCCTCTCTGCAACGGCAACGCAACGGCGTTACGAAAGGCCCATAAAAGAAAGGCAGTTTTACCTCTTTCGCAACGTCCTAAAAGTAATGCTTTTTCGCAGAAATGTTTTTAAAAATGCGCACTTCAAAAAAATTCCTATTCTAAAATGCGATAATTCTCATTGGATTTTTTTATTGCGTCGGAATATTTTTTGTACAAACTTGTGCAAGGTATGAGTTCGCGTGCTTGCGCCGTCAACAAGTGGCCTGCATGTTGTCTGCATGGCTATACCTGGAAAGCGAGTTTTAATTCCTCATTAAAGACTGTCTGTTAATTATCCAGTGGAAAACTAGTTTTACAAGCCGCAAGACGGATTACGAATCTCAGTAATCTATCTTACAAGAGGTGTTTTTAGGAGAATCACGTGTTGCCTGGAGGCCTAGGAGCCTGATCATTTTAGCAGAGTGGCGCACTTTTGATCAATTGATGGTTTTCAACCATTCACCAAGAGAACTAAATAACAAAAGACACGGCGGCCATGATGTTGGAGAATATAACAAAAAGAATTCATTGACAATTCTTTTGTTAAAGTCCTCTAACATGACCGACGTGAAAACCATCAATATGCCTCAGGAATGATTGATGTTCGAACAGGGGCTATGATGTGATATGATGGGCACGTACGGAATCGTTCATCTGGCTTCGTTTTGATCCTACGATGATAATGCTGACAGATGGCTTTCCTTCACACACTCTGACCTACTCTAAATACTCCAGATACTTCAAGCAAAATCATCAGATATTTTTCTAATGGACTTCGCCGGGCATGAATGATTTTGTATTTTATAATGTTCAGTCTTTATAGATGGAAATGGTGGCTTACATGACTTTCATACATGGCCACCGTACCTAAGGGCTACTCACACCGACTTTCTTAGTCAATCGGTACGAGCTACTCTAGTTCAGTCACAACGTTTCTGAGCCGATTAGGAAGTGACCTTACGTAGA